AGGGGGTGGGGCGACTGGAAAGAAAAGAGAAGCGGATCTGGATCGTGGCGTCCCTTGAGGCTAAGCGAATGCGCTTGGGTTACATTCTGTAAACGAATGGAACAACTGGAGGGCTTTTCTTTTTTTGCAGGAGACTGGGGAGCAGAGACAGCTGTCTCTTCTTGTTCCTAAGTAAGTGCCCCGGACGACGGCCCCCATGCGCGGCGGAAGATCAGACCGCGGGAGGAGGGCGGCCTAAGAGCGGTGTCCACCACGTGGCCTGGGGCCCCTCACCCAACCCCTTCTCCACGGAGGCCTCCTTTACGTACCCCATGGAGGACGGGGAAGGCCTGGCCGGCTCTGCTGAAGTTTCCGCTGCAATTGCTCCCAAAAGTTCCGGAGTAGTCCCCGGGCTGCGGGCCACGGCGAAACCACCAAGACCAGCGTGAAAGCAGCCATGTTGCTCGCCCTAAGGCCGCGCCCACCGGGCCGCCCCTACCTCGAGCATGCGCACAAACGCAGAGTCGGGGGCTGGCCGGGCACGGAACTACAACTCCCAGCATGCCCCAGGACCGTCTCTGCCTCTCCTCCAGTCAGAGAGCGAGAAAGGAAGGCGCGGGGAGGGGGAATGAAACGACTCAGGCCGCAGTGCGCGTGTGTGCGGATGTGCGTTGGGTCTTCGGGTAAAGATGGCGGAGCGTGGGTACAGCTTTTCGCTGACTACATTCAGGTACGGAAGGGGCCCCCGAGGTCCTCCGCTTAGCCGAGTTTGTAGAAGCTCAGCTGACCCGGGCTTTTCCGTCCTGGTCTCTGGCTTGGTACCTCCGGGGGGCCAGTAGGGAATGAGGGTGGAAATGCGACTTTGCAAAGTCATTTGCAGGGCCCTCCCTAGGCCTGGGGAGCAGTGGTGCCGGGGGTCACGGGAACGCGATTTGGGGGATCCAGGGCGACCTTGGAGCTGTGGGCGGGTGAGGCCCTCACGCAGGGACTTGCTTTCGCTTTGGGGACTAGAGAAGAAAGCAGCTTTGGATTAGCCATCTCCGGGTGTCCCGTTCAGAACTCAGGATTTCCTTCCTGACCCAAGTAGGCCTGATTGGGGAGCCTCTAGGGCTCGGAATCTCGGTCAGATCTCTGGGGTCCCTTTTTTCTCGGAAAGCTCCAACTTTACAGTTTGCATTTGGTCTTCGAATGTTTTGCGAAACCTCTTCCCGCTTTCGGTTTCCTCGATGGCCCTATTAGAAGCTGAAGGACTGAAAATGAAAGCGCTGATCTTTCTATCCCCTAGTGATTGTGGGCGCCGAACTCTTAGGCTACATTTGTGTTTCGGCTGTTACTTTGGAAGGAGGCTATGTTTATTTAAAATAAAAAAAGATTGTAGGATTTGAACTACTTTAGAACTAGGATGTAAGTACATTTTTCAAGAAAACCATCACCAAAAGACTTAAGAAATTAACCGGGGAAGGATTCAATTTGACCTTTTACCTACGGATCAGTAATACCCCATTTAATTACAGTGTGTTTCCTCGCTGCTAAAGGCGGGCGGGATCCAACTTGTTGAGTACTTTCTGTGTGGATACAGCTTACTCCATCTCTTTCTGCTACCATGTGTGATAAATGTTGTCTCAGCATCTTACACATGCGCAAACCACAGCTCAGACAAATGAAATAACTTGTGCATGATCGTAAACGAGTAGCATTCAAACTGACTGCTTTCTGAGGACAAAATTAATACACTTTCCATTACCATGTGATGGCTTCTTAAATATGAAAATGTGTTCCTTACTCTTGGCAGTTTTCCATAATAAGTAAAATAAATTTTTCCTCTTTGAGTGAAATTAATTTCATTCCTTAATTAAAGATCTCGTCGTATACAATGATAGAAAACAATTTTTGCTCCGTAGTCACTGTTCATATTGGTGAAGAAAGCAAACCTGGCCCTTTATCTTTAAGAAAGTGTAATCCTAGTGGAGCTGAAACATAAAACAACTAATTATTATCAGACGCTGACTCTTTATTATAAATTTCTAGTAAAATACACTAATTTTTAGCATAATGGCGCAGTTCTGTTTTAGATTAAAAACATTTGTTTCTAGCCTGTTGTAATCAGAATTAAACTATTAATGGTGGAAGTGACAGGAGACAATACTGTAGGATGAGAAAGTGTTCTTGAGGATTACATTTATTGGGGATACTGGCAGTAAGTGGGTAAACAAATTGATGCCTGCTGATGCATTCTGAAGAAGGTTTTTCTCTTACTTGGGAATTTTTATGAAGAGGGGGCAAAAGAAGGAATGTAACTTTAGATTGGGTAGTCCAGTAAAGTCCAGCGCTTAGGGGTGATTTGGGGGGCTGGAAGTTGAAAAGGAGCCAACTGAAGATTGAGGGGTAGAGAGAGTTGGAGACAGGGAGGAGCGTTGTATGAAAGTGGTGAAGTTGGGAGAGACCTTGAACTCTTAGAGGACTTGGTATAAGGCCAATGTGTTAGAGTGTAATGAGCAAGGAGTTAGGAAGGAGTTTTTATTATAAGTGAACGGAGATGTTATTATGGGATTTAAGGGGAGGGGGTGACATGGTACAAAGGTAACTCTGGGTTGGGGTGTGGAAGTAAGAGTAGAAAGGGGAAAACTAGTTAGAAGGCTCTTTTGGTTATTGCTGGTAGAAATGCTGATACTTTGGAATTGGGTCATGGCAGGATTGAATACAAAGATTGGTGATTAGTTCAATGGGCTCACAGGTCAGTGAGCTCTCTCACCGAAAGGTGCAATGGTAAAAAATGTACACGTGATTATGGCAGCAGAGGAATGGGTAACTTTAAGTTAACCTGAGGCTTTAAAATATCCCACAGAGGCATTTGAACTAGGTATTGAAGAATGATTGAAAACTGGGTAGACCCAGAAAGTCATGCATGGTAAGACTGTTGAAATAGTGACCATTAAAGAAAAACAAGTACAGCCTAATTTTTAAAATTTAAATGCTTATTGATGGTACTCTACTCAAGTCAGTTAATTTTGTCATTTAACAGTCTTTAGATTGCTGCCCCTAGGCTCATGCCTTCAGTAAGTCTAGATGTGTGTATGTCAGCGAAATGTTTGTGGTCTCCTGGTCCTAGGTTATGTGTTGGAATGCTGACCGAACAGAGCTTACACTTTGTAAATATTGTAAAAATAATTCAAGTGTGATGAGTCTTATCTTAGCCAAAGAGGAAGCACAGGACACTGTAGGCTTGAGTGCGTGGGATTCAGTTAATCTGGGTGGTCAGGGCAGCTTCCCTGAGGACGTGACATTTCTGCTAAGGATTGGAGGGTGACCAGGAAAGCGTTCACCAGACGGTGGGGAAATGCATTGCAGACCGAGGGATTCGCTTGTCGAAGGGGTTTTTGAATTCTGAGAGTAGTTGTGTGTCTGGAGCAAGGGGAATGGTGGGAGTTGAGACTTGAGTGACAAACAGAGTGTCTTACAATTTCATGAAGATAAAACAGATGACCTTCTGAAACTCAAGATTATCTTTTCATTAGTAGCATGGAGATACGGACCTAGTTGTGTGTCCCTTTGGACAAATGACTCATTCAAGGACTTTTCTCTATAAAAATAGAAAGGCTGGAGATGTTCATGGTGATTGCTCTAACTCAACAAATAGATTGAAATAAACTATGACCTAAAAAGCCAGTTTGGGCCTAGCATATGGCTACTAAACTCATGGAACCAGGTTTGTTGAGTATAACCAGCTCATGGCTTCTAGAAAGTTTTACATTATACAGAAAATACTTTGTTCTGACTTATATCTAGGTCTTATGTCTTAGGCCGTGACTACTTTATAAAATGTTTAACTCCACCCATATGGAATATATACCATTATTTAGTATTTAATAGACACGCACATGTTCTTAATAACATTACTGTTTGGTGTTTACTTACTGCTAATTTTGTGGCAGGAACAAAAGGCATCGCTTCATTTAATCTTCACATCAACCTTTGAAATGGGGAATTACTGCACTACTGTTACTCCCATTTTACAGATGAGAAAACCGAGACCCAGAGAGGTTAAGTAGCTTACCCAAAGTCACAAGGCTAGCAAGTGGGGGAAGGCAGCAGGAATGATGCTGCTTTAAGTGGCAAACAAGAAAGATCAACCAAAGGAAAGTGATTAGTGTTCCACTATGAATGTGTTCGAAGCACCCAGTGAACTTCGTTTCTGTACAACTTCATGATAAATTTTCAGAGCCCAGCGATTCCTTGGTGCTTGATTTAGTGGTTTTGGCCTGTGTATCTGCCCTTTCTCAGAGGTGTTCCTCTAATAAATATTTGAGAATGTGTGAATTTAGCAAATACCTTTGTTTCTTTTTAAGCCCGTCTGGCAAACTCGTCCAGATCGAATATGCTTTGGCTGCGGTAGCTGGAGGAGCCCCTTCAGTGGGAATTAAAGGTAATTAGTTGCCTCATTCATTTCAGATTCCTGGTTTTAGCTGTCCTAATGTTCTTTGGGGATTAATTAGCAAGTAATGTAAAAAGAAATAGTTGTGGCAGCATAACTTTTAACAGCTCTGTTTGTTACTTTACAGTATTTTGAAGTTTAAAGAAACCAATAAGTCAGTAAGCCAAAAAAGATGATTAATTTTTTTTGCAAATAAACATAACACCTTTATCTTTGAGTTGCGATAGCCCACCAATAGTCTTTCCTGTCCAGAAAACTGAGTATTCTTTTGTTTTTCCACTGATTATATAGCTCACTATTCTCTGGCAGTTTTTCTATTTTCTGCAACTTAGAAAAGGTTAATTATAAAACTTACAGGTACCTGATTCAAAATGTATCATTGATTTTTAAACTTTAAATTAAGAGAACAGTAAGTGGGCCAAGTAGGCAGAATTCCATTGTTTTAAAGTACATGGATTCTCAGGCATCCTAGAAAACTTTAAGAGAAGTTACGTAATACCTTTAGCTGAGGGATTTCTTAGTGCATTCAGATGACCAGCAGGGAAAGTTGATTTACTGTTCCTTGGGTGATTTTAATATAGACGTCCAGAAGAAAAGGTTTTATAAATAAGAAACAAAGGAGGTTGGCTGAAACGCTTCCATAATTAGAAAACTGTTGAGGCAGAGTCTTTAAATGATTGAACATTTAGGTCTTTTTAAAAATATATATATTTTTAACTTTATTTATAAGCTGCAAATGGTGTGGTCTTGGCAACTGAGAAGAAACAGAAATCCATCCTGTATGATGAGCGAAGCGTCCACAAGGTGGAGCCGATCACCAAGCACATAGGTCTGGTGTACAGCGGCATGGGCCCAGACTACAGGTACCCTGTCCTGTCTGTTCTTTTTCTCACCATCTCATGGATTGCTTGTAATCTGTCCTTTGAGCAGAAAAACCAAGGGGATGTTTTCCCTTGAACCTCTCAAACTTCCCGTTTTTCTTAGTTTACCAACAGCAGCATCACTGGCAGCTGCAGTTTGTTTGCTAACATGAGACAGACTGAGGGCCACTTGAAGGAGGACTCAGCGCCACTCAGCTGTAAAGGAGGAGATGGTTAGGGTCGTACTCCTCCCATCTCTGTCCGGTGGTTT